GTATGTGTGTGCATGTATGCACAAACACATCTCTGTGTGTACCTATTTATCCAAATACATCTGTGTGTGTGTACATAAACACATATGTGTGTGTGTTTATTTATACAAATACAATTCTGTGGAAATGTAAAAAAATATATATATACATATATTTATCACTTTAAACATTATTTTTAGTGGATACCCATATTTGAGTAGACGCTCCATCTATTTTTTAAACAGTATATTTATTTTCGTCTACTGGTTTGAATATTCAAGCAATCTTATTAAAAAAAAATGCAACAGAAAGAGAGAATAAAGCAGGACAAATCATAAAAAATAATTCACAATTGGAATATTTTGTTTTATTGAAACTATTTTCTTTGATAAACTAAGATTATTTTCCACCATCAAATGTTAAAAAAAATAACCATACAGTCTCCAAACTTCAAGAAAAATGGTTCTGGAATAATCTATTAGTCATAACATTACTGTGTTATTTTTTCAAAGTTTCTTTTTATATGCAGAATTCCGTAGATGTTATGCAGAAGTAAAAATACCCAGTATAATGTTCTAAGAAAGTGTTTTGTTTCTTTTTTTATCCTACACTTGAGAAATTACTTTCTGTATAACACAGTTCAGACTTAGTCATTGATTTAATTTTTACTTTCTCTTTTATCCTGGCCCTTTTTGTTTAGTGAACATGATGGTTGCCCTGAAAACAATGAATTTAGCATAATACTAGCAAAAAATAGTCTGTAATATGATTCTTCTAAAGCTTGAATCCATTTTCTCTGCAGGTATTGCTATGTGGTGACAGTCATATTTCTAAAACTTGGAGAAAAATATTATGAATCAATGAAAAAGCCTTTCTGCTCATATTTTTTCTTCATTCTTTTTACAACAAACATTTCATTGTATCACTAAACTTTTCCAAATATTTTCATTTTGTATGGGATTTATTGACATACTGCTTGAAGAGTTTACAAAACACATAAAAAGGCAAATGTTTGACTCCATTAAGAAAAGTGTTTCAAGAAAAGGTAACATTCATTTTGAGAAAAATTATAATTTTAATCTGATTAAAAACTCTTCAAATTTTTTAATTCATTATTTTAATAAAAAAAATTATTTTAATAAAAATATTTTTTCAATCTCATCAAAAAGAAATTTGATAGAAAATCTTGTGAAAAGGTTATGAACTTTAAACTTTGTGGATTGTTTTTTAAAGAATTGAACAAGTTATTTTTTATCCTTCTTTTTTTCTTTGATGAGTGCAACTTTCTTAAACCCCATTAAGTCACCATTTTATATATTTTCTGTAAAGATATTTAGATCTTCTCTGGGTTGAAACATGTAATGGCAATTTTATTTTTATTTTGCTTGTAATACTTTGCATACATACACATACACAAAAACACAAACACACATACATACACACACATACATACAAAGACAATGATACATCCACATATGCAACACAAGTACACAGACATAAATTCACTTACATAAATATGTATGTATAAGCTCTCACACATATACAAAAAATCAACTATCACTGCTCTATCGTTAGTTTTATGGAAAGCGCTCGAATGAACGATATTCCTTGTTTCTACCTGGTCTAGCCTTCATGGCTAACACCTGCCATGCCACTTACATAGTAGCAAATCACTCACATTCCCTCCATGTTCCATTGGTGAGAAGTAAGTTCCACTCAAACAGCTTCTTTCTACAAACCACTGTCCTGTGGAACAGACTTCCAAGAGGATGTTTCCCTGATCATTACAATCTTAACCTGTTCAATTCTAGAGTCAACCATTATCTTCCCCTCCTATCCATATAAACTACCAATTAACGTAATGCTCTACCTCAAGAGGCCCCCGAGCCTTGTACAGAGTGAACCTTACTGTAAAAAACAAAAATAATACACATATATGAAGGGGTGCTGAAAAGTTTGGGGCCTGATCCACTTACCAAAATCTGTATTTCAATTACTATGCATTAGTTACAGTTTTTGGTTTGATTGATTGATTGAGTGATAAGCTTTTTTACAGTTTATCAACCCTTTCTAGATTATTTTTAAAAAAAAAAATTTTTTGGACTGTAACAATAATTCTTTTTTTCGAGAAAGTGAATTACCATTTTTTTTTTAGAATGATAATGTTTTTTTTCAAATACAAATTATTAACCCATAGCTGTGGGGAGGAGATGGATTCATACCTTTCCCAAGGGTATTTGCCTGCAAGTGAATGCAACAAACTTGACTGGAATCCAAACTTAGCTCGACTGATTTCTCATTCCAAGCTGCTAGTAGAGTTTCTGGAAGTGAGTGCATAATCTGGCATGATTAGTAGTTGAATTAGGAAAATACACTCAAATTCTCAGTCACAATGACTTTTGTGACTGTGCTAACACAAACAGTTTCATTTACCCAATTTCACTCAAAAGACTTTAGTCAATATGGAGGGTTGGGTATTTTTCAGGTACTTCCCAATGGTGCTTCAGACTGGAATCATCTTCCTAGGCCGATATTTTGAAGAAGTCATCTCCCTGACAAATCAACTATAGTAAGATTCAAATCCATGTCTCATGGCTGGAATACTAATAACTTGACCATGTGCTCACATCCTGTAAATATAGAAAATTTTAAATAATATATTTATTTATATATGCATGTGTGTATGACAGACAATGTCAATTCAGTCATCTTTCCTTACCCATTACATTTACAAATGTCTCTAGGACAGCTGAAGTATGGATGACAAAAAAATTATAAAACCTGATATTACCCACAACTGTAAAAGGTTGATTGGTTGATTTTGTTTAGCAGCATATCACTTTTTAGGGCTTATTTAATGCCAAAATCTAAATATTTTGAAATCAATTGTATGCCTTCAACTACAGATAAAATATTGTCAGTAATTTCACTACAAATATCTATTGTTATTAATTTTTTTATATAAAAATATATTGCTGGTATTTTTACTATAAAAATATATTTTTATACTTTCATAGTGTTTTGTCTTTGTTTCGGAGGGTGGAGGTTAGCTATTTGCCAATAGTTGGGACCCTAACAGGTGCTACCACCCCAGGTCAGGGTGGACCTGGTAACAACAACAATTAAGAGGTAGTTCCATGCTCCTCAAAACCTTCAATCACCTGATCAGAGGAATTGCTGCTGTTTATCATCATACTGAGGGCTACAATTGTAAAAGGACTTTCTTACCATTAAGACACTATCATATGAAGGTAGTTGATATTCATGCCCAGCTGAAAGCTGATTTTCTAAGTAGCAGGATTGCCCCACTTGGAAAATTACCATAGCACAATTTTCTTCTCTCTCCCTGTACACCTTTACAACAACTTCACTTAGAAACCCTCAGCCTTGAACCTTGTATTGTGTGAAAAATTGTTAAGAACAAAAAAATAATTTTCCTAAATTTGGCCTTGTGTTGTAGTAAGAGATGTATGGGTAAAAAAATAAAATCTATTAATTCTTTAGAAATTTCTTTGTTTATGTTTTGGATATGAAACTGAGTCGATATGCCATTTTGAGAAAATCTGAATGGATGAGATTGCTTTAAAGATGAATCTGGAGGGCACAGGTTCGAATTCTGCTGGAGTGCACAGTTTTCTTTAAGTTTTCTTGAGTATACAGGTCAGTAGACAAAATAAATTCTGTTCAAAATAAATAGTGTCTACTCAAATATGAGTTTCCATCAAAAATAATGTTTGAAGTAATAAAAATAGTTATTGCTGTAAAAAATGGAACAAGCTTTGCTAGGTTCAAATTCTGATCAAGTCTGTTTGTTCCCTTTGCATTCACCTCTGTGAGTAAAATAGTTGAGAAGACAGAGCACTCTTGCCTTGAGTGGAAGCCAGTCTAGGAGGAGAATAACTCTAAATTCAAACCTTCATAAATATTAGAGCATACTGAGTTAGAATTAATTTAGTCTTGGTGGGGCAATCAGTTGCAGAGAATAACTTTGAATAGAAAACCAGTCTAAAAAAGTGTGGGGCTCTATCCGTATATGTTGCCCTAGACATAACAAATGCTGCCCTAGACTCAACAAATGTTACAGTAAATATGGTACCCCTATATGGTACCCCTATAACCGTAATGTATTAGGTGACTTGTGATCATAATTGTGTATTAAGAAAATATTATACAGATAAAATTATTTCAACAAAATGTATTTGAGACACAAATGAAATTTCTATCTGAAAAGAAGAAAAATTTTCTCTTAATAAAAGTAGTGTTATATATTTTTTAAAAAGTATTGTTTTCATAATTCAATAATTTCTATTTGAAAAGTTTATATCTGGATTTAATGAAATTCTTTTCCAGCAATTCTAGTCTCCCTGAAATTGTTGTGTGTATTAAGTGTTTCTCATAATTCCCATTTCTTTGTGAAAGCAAAGCATTTTCTAGTTTTTATTTCACTCCATTCCAATCCTTTTTATGGAGATAATTTCTGACTGTTTTCTTGTTTCCACCTTTTTGATTATTGTTTGCTCATCTGAATAGATTGCATCTCAAAAAATTCTTGCTTTCTTCTCATATTCTTACTTGTTATCACCAAACTGATATTTCTATGCTTTAGGTTTTTTTTTTTTGGTGGGTGGGGAGGGTGTAGCATTGAGTTACTGTTAATAATTCATAGTTCTTATTCATCAAGTTTCTCTTTTGCACCTACCAAGTCATCTGTTGTTAATTCCTGAACCTTTTTGTTTCAAGTAATCTCTAATTTCCCCTGCTCATTTCTTGCTTCTCTCTCAGGATTACTTGACTTTTCAACCTTAAAACTCCAAAGATAAGAATCAACTTATTTTGTATTTTTACTCTTTGCAAAGAACAAATCAGTCAAAGACACAGATGTATAAAATAAACAAATAAAGAAGACAAAAAACCCTAGCCAAATGCTTAAGAGATTTGCTCCTCTCATTTTCAATGACCATATTTAACTGCTAAAATAATTACCCTTCAAGTCAAAATCTAAGATATTTCTTTCAGTCTAATAATGTTCACCTTCTCCAATGTCTGTTTAGCTTCCTGTTTTTCCATCAGAGTTTATCCCTTCTTTACTTCAACAGACTTTTGTGACTACATCTCAAACTTTCCTGTAGACAATACTCATGTTAGTGTGCTTTCTTGGAAGACTGATTCTATTCCTTCTTATAATTCATCCGTATCTTTTCTGGCTGCTAAGACATATTTGACAAAGTAATCAATACACTTAGATTACAAACAACCCAACCATCATTTATTTGCTGAATTGTAGAGAAAAATTCTTTAACCCTATCCCTACTAATAATACTCTAATAAAAATTATAATAGCCAACATCTTAGAAGACAGAAATCTCTCCTGGGAAAAATTCTCATTAAATGCATTATTTCATTTCAAAAGAAATTATTGTATTTCTGGCAAAATCTGAAAGTCTATTTTAACAACTACAAATTTTAGTTCCAAAACATAAAGTCAAAAAAGCTGGAATATTCTTTCAAGCTTTATCATAAAATAGTGAGGCCTTATCATCACAGATTTGCTTACTGAAATAAATAAATATAATTCTTATGCACAATATACTTATCTACAACACATCACTTGAAAATTATGCAACAATATAAAATTTGTTGGAAAGTATTTCTTCCAATAAACCTGCATCATGATTTCTCAAAAATTTTTTTAATTAAATCAATTCTAGATAAATCAACTGATTATGAATTTATCTTGATTTTGTCAGAAGCAAACACACTATTATCAATAAAATTCTTTAAAAAGCAAAGTAGCAATACAAAATATAAATTTATTTTCAAGATAGGCAACATTATAATAGTCATTTTCATTAAAAAAAAAAAAAAGTCATAATAATGATTATGGCTTTGTTATATGTTTTTAGCAAACTTGTCTCCTGGACATTTTATTTTATTTCAAAAACACATGGCTTCAAGTCAGAAATTCATCTGTTTGTTCCATCACAAGAGCAAAAGTAGAAACTTGTAATTCCTGAACACAATTGAACTTTATATTATGATTATTTCCCTTTTCACAAATCTTTTCACTTTTCACATTAAAGGAAATTATTAAAAATGAAAGCCTAGTTTGCCTGATTTTTGGTGATTTCTTAGGGCAACATTTATACGTGCCACCTCAGATATCAACATTTATATTAATGCCTTACATTTCATAAACAGATTTCATAATAAAATAGACTATCATTCATTTGGAATAACTTGCTTCAAAAGTTCTAATAAAAGAATCATTCCAATTTCTATTCAAGTCTTGCTTTTTGTCAAAATATCTAGATTTTTTTCAGTAAACAAAGCCAAAATTTGTTTTGAATTTTTGTAAATTGTACGTTACTAATCTGAGAGATCATGAACATACTTGTTAATGGGATCAGGTTGAATTTTCACCCATTTTCATTTTATATAGTTCGTTTTTTATTGTTTTAGTTCAAACTTAAAACACAGGTTCATTTGGAAAACACATCTCTTTGCCTGATTTTTAACTTTTTATCTACTGAAGCTGACCAAATTATTTTCCAAAGTTATGAGCCACACAAATTCTGATATTCTGTTTAATCAGGAGAAAGTTTCTAATTCAAACTTTGATAAAGTTTTAACTGAAAGTTACCAAATAGATATTTCAAATCAATTTAAACTTGGATGAAATAAGGTTATTTTATAATTTTCTGGAAGGAAGTGAATTTTCCTATTTTTAAATAAGAGTGAAACATCATTAAAATGATAGGAAACAATATTAAAATTTGCTTATAACAAAGTTTCCACATCAAACATTAAAAGTTGTTTCTCTGCAGAATTTCATTATGCATTTAAAAAAATCCTTAAAAGGAAATGAAAATTTAAACTTTTTTCTTTTTCCAATTGATTAAAATTCACTAAAAGGAAATACTGTAGAAAGTCAGTAGACAAAATCATTTTGTGAAATTTCAAAAAGGTTTCAGCGAATCATTGTGGATCTACTTAATAATAAAAGATGGCTTTTATCATGTCCTTTGCCAATGTAGAAAAGCATTTTATGAATTATTGATTGGCATTTATCAAAATGAAAAGTTTTTCTCACAAGGTTTTTCAAACAACTCACCATAAAAAACAAATGCAGACATGGCTTTAGATAAGTAAATCAATGTGGAAAAAAATAGTCTGAATTTTCCAATTATTATAAAACAGCAAATTTACTTAAATTAATAATTTCTTTTACTTTCTTTTTTATGGCTTTGTGCATATATTTTACTTGCAAATTTTCATATTTGAGGTAATTTTCAAATATCTGTAGACACATGCACCCACAAATAAGCATACTTTTACATTGTTGTTTTCATAAGCCACCTCTGGTTTAAACACACACATATACATGTAGACATCTATATATTACACACATTAGCAAATACATACTTATATATTTATAAATGGTCATCTTTTATTTTTAAAAATCTATGGCTGGAAACTTATTTATTCTAACAAAATTATCCATTTTGTTTTGTCCACTGAATTCATAATTCTTCACAATAAATAAATTCAGATTGGTTTTAAATGAGTCCAGTAACAATCATTGAAGAGTATTTGCTTGTAAAATTTTTACCATGAGGCATATATCCATGATAGATAGAAATGTAGATGGAATTATTTCAATTGCTTTTATTATGTTCACAGATCCAGGAAGCATTCACGTGTAAAGAAATGATTTTATATCAGCTCTTATATATATCAGCTACAAGATTCTTCTATTCAAAATTGAACTGCAACTTAATGCATGTGGGAACAGAGATTAGACGTGCTGAAAATTAGTTACAAGACTTTCATTAATAATCATTTCTCCAATATTTGTATTAAATCTGGTTATGGAAATTCTATAGAATCTCAATAAATATTTGAGTGTTTTTATAAAATAAAAACATACTGAACGTTATCTTTTTAGCCATATCTTATAAAACAAGATCATATTGAAAGTTTTATTGAAAATTGAAATGTACTATTGTTTATTGAAATAAGCTAGTTTTATTGAAAATTTAGACTTTTACATTTTCAAGTTATCATCTCCAGAAATTAAAGTAAGCATTATTCAATAACCAGTCCATCGAAGCAAAGAATTTATCAAAATAAATAACCTCTAATGGATATAGAAACTTCTTTTTTATTTTTAATAAGAAAAACTTTTTTTAATATTTGTATCTGGAAGCTGCAGAAAGAAAATTAAATTTTTCAATTCTTTTGAAATTTCCATTTCAGGAAGAAAATAACTGAAAAGATAATCAGAAGTGATTTACAAAATAGTGTTACACATATACATACACATGAGTACATATACTTGAACATATATACAGTTGCACATACATGTGCCACACACATACCTGACCACATACACCCACAATAAAAACTAAGTCAGCTCAACCCAATATTCAGATACGTATCTATATATACATGAAAGAAACTTGCCCAAACGTGTACTCAAACTCACACATATACAAACAATGCAAGCATATGTATATGGTGCATAATACACTCAGCCTCAAAGTTGTGAAAGTAATTGACAATTTTAGTTTTAAAATGTGTATGTCATTGTATATTGTTCTTTATTACTGAGTATGTGTGTGATTATTTATAAGTATATTTGTGTGTGTCTGTGTACATAATATAATTTGGAATTCTGCACGTGTGTGGGTGGATGTTAGTGCAATTAGTACTTATCTCTTTTTTGCGTAGGGGCGTTTGACGAATTTCTGTCGTTTTAAATAAGGAAAATGGTGCGAAAAACAGAAGCAGAAGAAGAAGAAGAAGAAAAAGAAGAAGAAGAGAAAGAAGAAGGTGATTTGCGTAAAAAACACTTAAAGTCATTACTACTACTACTACCACCACTAGTATTAGAAGAAGCGATGAGGACTTCAAGTGCGTGAAGCTCTCTTCTTTTTAGAATGGAAACTGCAGCACAGTTAAAGGGGCCTGAAAGGAATAAAAGGTCTTGGAATACCAGAAATCCAAAATGGAACTATCAGCGAAAGCACGGCTTCTACCATTGTGCCAAAATTAACATTACTTGCCGGCCCCATTGTCTTGTTACTGATAGGGAAGACTTAAAAATGAAAGAAAGAAGCAATAGTGGTCGCTTCTATTTAGTTAGAATACACACAGATAATCATCATTATCATCCTCATCATCATCATCATATTCTCCTTCTTATTTTTCTTCTCCTTCTTCTTTATGACATTATTTTTTATTTATTTCTAATTTTTATCTTCTGCAAGAATTATCACTGTCAGTGAGACTAGCGTACTGAAGAGTAAAGTAGCAGTGGGTCTAACGATAAAGAAAATAAAAGGCATTTTTTTTTCTTTTCTATTCATTTTTGACTGTCTTTTCTTCTCTTCGAGTTTTTATTTCTTTTTTTTTTTTTATATATATATATAATTTTCTCCTCACTAATATCAACAATATGTTGTTTTTTGCTTCTCCCTCACGAAGTCGGTCTCCGTTTTTTGTGACTTTTTTTCGCCTCGTTCTTAACAGCCGAGACTTTCTTTATTTTATTTTATTTCATTTCATTTTATTGCCTTTCTGATTTTGTTGAGTCCTTTTTTCTTTTTTCTTTATTTTTTCTTTTTTCCTTTTCTTTTTAATTTTCACCAACACTAGGCTGACACATGTACCCTTCTCTCTTGAGAAAACACGCGCGCATATTGACACTCACGGACACACACGCACGCGCCATACTGTGTGATGTATGTAGTAAATTACCTTACCACACCCATCCAGTCAGATGCATCCACACATCTAAACGCGCAATCACACGAACACATTTTACAGACACGCGTACAGATGCAAATATAGCTGCACATAACGTGGCACACTGTTCTGACCTTGTGCCAGACAAAGAGCAATAACAAAAACAGTACGTTCTCTTAAAGGTACCTTTATTTTACACACATACACACACAGAACTGCACATACACACACCAACCTGTACTAGTACTTGACTCATTCTTTCCATCTCAGTTAGTTAAACGCTCTATCTATTCCTCTTCAATTAGCCTTTTAATTTCATATCTACCTTCTTAGTCCATCTCAGTCGATTCATCTATCTATCTATCTATCTATCTATCTATCTATCTATCTATCTATCTATCTATCTATCTCAGTCTAATGAATGATATCTCAATATGTTCATCTTTTTCTCTAAAGAGAGAGGGAGAAAGAGAGAAATGAACAGTAGCGTCAGAATATATATATATATGTGTGTGTGTGTGTGCATGTAATGAATTCAATTTAAGATAAGCTGGAATTTTTAGATTTTTCAAATTTTATTCGAATTTTCTGACAAAAGATTTAAAAGCCCCTTATTCGGATATGCATACACACGCACGCGTGTTTCTTTATTGATGCTACGGCGTGAATGGGTTTTATTTAGCGAGTCAGTCTCGCAGATCCTTACTACTGGATAGTGAGTTCGATTCTCACTGGGTACTCCGTACTTGTGGGCTTATATCAGAACTTTTTTAGCAAATGACGTGTGCCGGTGTCTCTATAACAGACTCTCTCTGGGTGTGGACTAACAAATTTCGCCAAACTTTTCCCACTGCGCCCCTCGTCCTCTCTTTCTTGTCTTCATTTTAAAACTGAGGCATATCCCTTTCTTCTGTCTTGTGAGGTCTTTATAACTATTCCTGTAGTTAGAGAAAATAATTCTCTCCTTCTTTCTCTCTCCTTTTCCTATATTATAGAAATATTGTTTTGTATCGTGTGTACGTGTGTGAATGTTTCTTCAGATAAAATAATGAGATTGGTAAAGTGGCTTAAAAACAAACTCCGAATCTTTTGGCGCAAAGAATATAACAATCAGTCGATACCTAAGTTTTCCATTTCTTGTGATCCGCTTTCTTTCTTTCTTTCTTTCTTTCTCTTGAAGGAATCCGCTACCATTTTTAATTTGACGAAGCTCAGTTTTACTTTTAATTTTTTATTTTAAGCGCATAGTACCCGTCAAAAATGAGGATTTATTTTCGTATGGATCAAAGTGTCTCTACACAGGCCTCTTCCTAGAATCACATTGTAGATGTGTATTCAGAGAAAAGAGTTTACACTCACACACAAAAAATTATATATAGATGTGTGTGTGTGTATGTGTGTATGTGTGTGTGTGTGTGCGTGTGTGTGTGTGAATATACATTGCGTATGAAGATTAGTACCCGCCCTCCCAACTAAGGCGTGTGCAGATTAACATACGAAAGTCTTTTCAAACACAGACACAAAGCGATTTACCAAGCTTAGTTTAGATGAGGCACAAGGCACCCAGTTAGGATCGAACTCACTTCTTTTTCTGTGTGTCGTGTCCCTTCAGAACGATGGCGATTATGGCTCTTCACAATTTCCTGTCCTTTGTAGCTCTTAATAAATTTTTATCATTTTGTTTTCTCCTGAATCCTATTCTACTATCCATTTACACAAGCTCGTTATGTTAATCGCTGTTTTCCTCTGTTCCTCTTGCCTTTAATCTGTCCTGTGAGTATCAAATTTTCCAAGCCCTCTTTCCTCGTTATATGCCATAGAAATGTCAACTGTCTCATGTTAAATATTAACTTCTGTCCTTTTTGTTACTATAAAACGTCATATTTGCTCACATGTTCAGTCCATGGTTATTCTCAGCATTCTTCTGTAGAACCACATTTCTGTTGCTTCAACACTCTCTTCTACTCAGTCGTATTGATCTTGTGAAACAAGCTTGTTAACCATTACACTACGTCGAAGTGCCCAAAACACAGAAGCACATTGTTTTTATTTTAAGATTTCCTATATTTATGGCGGAAGAGTGCGCAAGATTGGGAATAGTATTTATGGTCGCTTAGGGTTTAAAACTACTCGTCACACACATATGTAGACATATATGCACACATGTACACACCTACACATATATTCACTCACATATCCAGACGTCCATGTGTAGGACTATAAAGTATTTTGTAACTCTTTATTTTATTCATTTTTAATATTACAAAGGAAGTAAATACTTCCATGCACACAACGTAAAAAGACAATTACATGCAGGTGTCAGTATGTCTCTAAATGTGTGTGTATCTGCAGCTACATCCTTTTTTAAATAAAAATGTACCTCTGTATATACGTGGCTATGTTTTTTTTTTATTTCTATTTTGTTGAAAACATTTTTCAGTTCGTCTCTTTCTATTTTCTAATTTGACATTGCATTTCCTCTTTACTGAATAACTTTACAAAGAGAAAATAAATTCTTAAAAAACATAAAGCGCCTGTTTTGTTTGTCATTATGTTGTTATTTTTACAGCTCATTTTCCAATGAAAATGAACTCTAAGTATTTGCTCTTATCTCTGTAATTAAACTACTTTGACACCTGCTTTAGTACATATTCTATTTTTGCTTTTATTTAGTTAAATAAAATAAGTATTTTGTGATAAAGGAAAGAAAAACTTCTCTGTTAAAAATAGTGAATCAACTAAACTTGTAAAACTTTGAAACATTTTAATTTTTTAAAAGAGTATTTTTTAAGTTTGAACATTTTTTCTTTTTTTTTTCTTTTTTTTGTTTACATATTCTCTAAAATACAATAAGCTTTTGGCAAACGGAAAACCACATCTTTCTCGCATAGCAAATATAACCTCCGCCTTTTAAATGTTCTGAAAACCTTTTTTGCAGATCTGCTTCATGCATCAAAGCCTAATGTCCATAAAATAGAAAAAGTTGTTTATTTTCAAGATCTGTTTAATTTTAAATTAAATTATTTCATTTATTTTATTTTTAAGAAAATGCATTGGACATTGTCTGTGGAAGTTAAGCTTCTTAAAGGCTTGTCTTAGGATTTTGACTTTTGAGGAATCATTGACATAAAAATTAAAATAAAAGTATATTTCGTGTCAAAAGTATAAAAAGCTCCAAGAGAGTCTGGTCACCAAAGTCTGTGCATTTTATTCTCCGGCTTTCTGTCTAGGATCAGTGTAGTATCTGTGAGTGTGTAATGCACTCTATAAAAATTTTTACACAAACCAAAATTATTTCGTTAAAAAAATGACATACACTCATGCATCTATTTTCTTCTTACCTTCAGAATCCAAATGATTTTCACATAAACACTCATGAGTCAACAAACACACAGAAGTCCATCTATCTATCTATCTATCTATCTATCTATATATATATATATATATATATATATATATATATATATATATATATATATATATATATATATCTATCTATCTATCTATCTAGATAGATATATATATAGATAGATAGATAGATAGATAGATAGATAGATAGATAGATAGATAGATAGATAGATAGATATCCACCCAATTTGTTTATAGATAGATTTATATCTCAGTATGTTCATCTTTTTCTCTAGAGAGAGGAGTGAGAGAAAGAGAGAAGTGAACAGAATATACACACACACACACACACACACATATATATATATATATATATATATATATATATATATACCCACCCAATTTGTTCATATCTATCTATCTATCTATCTATCTATCTATCTATCTATCTATCTATGATAGATTATCTATCTCAGTATGTTCATATTTTTCTCTAGAGAGAAAGAACGAGAGAGCAAGAGAGAAATGAACTGATATATATATATATATATATATATATATATATATATATATATATATATATACCCAATTTGTTCATATCTATCTATCTATCTATCTATCTATCTATCTATCTATCTATCTATCTATCTGTCGCAGAATCTTCATATCTAAACATGATATATCTGTTCAAAAAGCAATATTAAAATGTAACATAAAAGTTTTTATTTCAATAATCATATCATCTTCAAAACAATAATTATGTACATCAAACTGAAAAAGATAAAATTTGAAAAACTAAGAGGAAACGAATCTTTATCAAAACTGCACGTTGCATAAAAAAATCAATTTGTTTTACAAGTTTTGATTTTATAAAATTGGCAATTCTACGAGCATCTCTAACACGAAAAACGTTAGTTAAACAATTTGAAACTAGTCGTTGTTAAAGATTAAAAATCCTACTTGAATCACGCGACAATTAAACCGATATTTAATTAAGAAGATTATTAAATTATTTCATAAAACTTATTAAAAAATGATCAAGCAGACTCTTTAGGTGGAAGGTAGAATTTCATTTAAAATGCTTAAATAAAAAAAATACACTTCTAGCCATTGACCCACCTAAACCCGATTGCATTTTCTCAAAATAAATATGTCACGAAGAGATTTCATTTAAATGATGAAAGTCTGAAGTAAAATAAGAACTCAAGTATACAGAGAATGAGTCAGCCGTAAAAAAAGGATGGCATACAATAATTTTTAATTTAATTTAAATTAGTTATTAGATTTATTTGTTGCGTAAGGAAACTAAATTTTAACTTGGAAAACGTGAGTGTGCGTACGTGCGTGTGCGTACGTGCGTGTGCGTACGTGCGTGTCTGTGTGTGTGTGTACGTGTGTGTGTGCGTGCGCCTGCACTCGAGCGTGTGTTTGAGAAATCAAGAAAGAATAATGAGGAAAAGAGTACAGGTGCTTCATAAAGCATTCATACACACACGTACGCGCGCACATGCACACGCGTGCACACGCATATGAAATACACACACACAGACACACACACATAGAAAATACATACACATGGACATAAGTAAACATGAGTGCTTAGCTTAATCGCATACAAACACATTCATATTTCTACCCCAAAAGTAAGTTTACGCCTCCCTTGGTAATGACTTCGACTTCGTCGAGACGAACACACAGACACAAAATCACACAGGCACACACGCATACGCATACACACGTATGCGCACACATATAAATCTGTTGCAGCGTTTTACATTCACCAAATTACACGTGTTATTTATGAAAATATGCTTCTTTCTTTCTCATTCTCTCTCCCTCTCTTTATCTCTCTTCCCTCTGTTTCTTTCTTTCTTTACTCCTCTATTTTTTCTCTTTCCCTTTCTCTCGCACGCTCCTTTTGAAGGTTTCACTCTCTCTCCCACCATAATTAATTGTTCCTACCATCTCTTTAGCGACAAAGAGGGAATCACGCGTTAAATCTCTCTCTCTCTCTCTCTCTCTCTCTCTCTCTCTCTCAAGGCTACAAGCCACCGTAGCCAGCAGTCAGTTGGCTCCTCCTCCTCCACATGTCATCTATTTCATGATAATTAATTGAAGATAACTAACGAAGCCATTTCTTCCTGTTTCTACGCATCTCCCTACCCATCTATCCACTTTCCACCCAGGCTTCGACCCTTCAACTATATCACATAAGTCCGACCTAATTTCCTTGGTCATTACCCTTATACTATCGTCCTTCCTTTTAGTTTAAAGACAGGAGGGTCCACAATCTTCCCACATGTGCTGAAAGTTATTTTAAACCCCACCCACACACCGACCTGAACAGTGAAGTCCACCTTCAGTCTGGGACCATTCACGAGTTTGAAAACATCGCTCTGTTCCCTTACCCACTAAGATTTGACAAACGCACTGGAGCTAGAGTGTGTTTTGTTGCTGTTGTTGTTTTTGTTTTCGTAAGGGCAAGTCACACCGCAATTATTGGAAATACTTAGGACAAGAAGGCAGTAGCAGAAGGGAATTCCTTAAAGTTGGGCCACAAGGCAAAGCTAAGGCGGCGCATACAATGCAGTGCGTCGTAACTGCATTTGCTTGCTTACAAGCGCAACGCAAGCACCGATCAAAAACACTTGTAGGTAAACCGAGGAGATAAACAACACCCACAGTAACCAACAGCATGTCGTCGTCAGTGGATTATTATTATCATTATCATCATCATTAATCTTTTACTGTTATCAGCATGGCTTACAAAAGAAAATGATTGACACACCTGTGAATTATTCCCTGGAAGATGTCAACTCTACAACTATCG